TGGAAAAGTGTGTAGTAAGGCGTTTCGCAGCCTCTATAATATCCGGCAGATAAGGAAATTCCTTTCAGATGATACAACAAAGATTTTGGTTCATGCTTTTGTTACTTCACACCTGGACTACTGTAACTCATTGTTTTATGGTCTCCCACAGTCTCAATATGATAGGTTACAAAGAGTTCTCAATGCTGCGGCACGTGTGGTCTGTTTAATCCCCAAATTCGATCATATTACTCCCGTTTTGATTGGCCTTCATTGACTTCCTGTACGGTATCGGGTGATTTTCAAGATTTTGTTGCCGGTATACAAGGCTCTTGATGCTAATGCACCGCCTTATATCTCAGACCTTCTGACACCTAAGCATATTGGTTGCTACAGCCTGCGCTCGAATGAGCAAAATTTGCTAATAGTTCCTAAGACAATGAGGAAAACGTTTGGCGACAGAGCTTTTGCCAAGGCTGGTCCATTTTTGTGGAATGAACTTCCCGCTGACATTCGTGAAGCGTCAACGGTGGAAACTTTTAAAAGCAGACCAGGGACGCCGGAGATCGATAATTGGGGGGGCAGATATTCATATATTCGTGTTCTGCCCAATTAATTTCTTTTGAAATCGATTGGTTTTACAGTCTGTGAACACGAATATATGAATATCTGCCCCCCCCAATTATCGATCTTCCGGCGTCCCTGAAGCAGACTTAAGACCTTTCTTTTTAGAAAGGCATTTTATCCTTAAATATAATAGTAAATTTGAACTTCCCGCTGACATTATTATAATGGACCCCAATTAACCAAAATTTTGATCTCAGCAAGTCTAGACAAAATTCCATCATAGCATCAAATGATGCCTCACGATTGTGGGACATCAAAACCATGCCAGAGCGCTATATATATATATATATATATATATATATATATATATATATATATATATATATATATATATATATATATATATATATATATATATATATATATATATATATATATATATATATGGTAACCATTTCCCGTTTGTAATCTAAAATGACTGAAAATTGCAAATAAATGTATTTTGCTAACCTGCAAATTTTTTTTGAGAGTTTTTCCCTGTACTATTATGTTTCTCAAAGCGAATATTTCCCTTTTTCTGCTACTCGCCGTATATGAGCTGATATACGGCGAGTAATTCAACCAATCAAATTGCAGAACAGCTCGTATACGGTGGATGACTATATTATAAATATATATATATATATATATATATATATATATATATATATATATATATATTATATATATATATATATATATATATATATATATATATATTTATAATATAGTCATTCACCGTATACGAGCTGTTCTGCAATTTGATTGGTTGAATTACTCGCCCTATATCAGCTCATATGCGCTGATTGGTCGAGAACGAAATTCCCCCTTTTTCCTTTTACAGTTATGAAGAGGACTCTGTCCAACCTCTCAGCGGCCCTGCTCTTCAACACGATTATTGTTCTAGTGTTAAAAGTAAAACAATCAGCAAATATGATTTTTGTATGTGTAATATTTCGGACATTCTGAGAAGAAATGTAATATATATAATGAAAAACTCATCTTGATGAACTTTTCCACTCTCATATATAGTTTTCAGATATGAATTGCAACTTGGTTCCCTTTTGTGTTTTGGAGAGATATTCGACTTTTTTTCTAGATTTAAATATGTTTATTTTTAGATGCTCTTTGATTATCTTTCCATTAGGTCACTATTTTTCACCACTGATGAAACGAACTCGAGAAATCTTATCCGGTACAGTTTGGCTGAGGGAGCTATTCATAGTATCCATGATAATCCATCGGGAATAGGAACACATCTTGCTGTTGATAGCGTGAACAAAACTGTATACTGGATTCTTTTTACGGCAGAGACGGCTTATAAAATATACAAAACAACATATGATGGTCAAACATCACAGATTGGATCTGATCAAACGGGAAGCGTTACCACTGTAGATATTGCAGAGGGGGATGGATACTTTTATATTCTTGATTCAATGGCGTCCGAAGTTAGCAAATATAATAAAGCAACGGAGATGGTAGTCAGCACGATTTCACTTTCACCAGGAGCAGAGCGAATGATTGTTGTTGCTGGTAAGTGATAAATAATGTAACGTGTCTAAGAAATGCGGTAGGTGTATTCGTAATTTTTACACAGCTAATTATATGTAGACACCGAAAATTAAGAAAGGTACGAATTCTAACACTAATATTATTAAACTTAGTCTAGTTGGGAGCAATTTAGAAAAGAAACCTCTTGAAACTTAATACAACTGACAAATGAGTTCAATAGTGTCTGTTGGTAAAACAGACTTTAGTTTAAGCATACAACCATAACATATTTAGTTTTACTTGACGAAATTTAATAATCTTTCTGGCGTCATAATCACAAATAATCTCATCTTAAATAAAGGTTTTGATGCCAATTAATAATGACCAGGGTAAATTTCAGGTGTCCGGCCCTCCTCATGTCTCACTACACATGCACGAAGTGGTGAAGTTAGATTCATTAACTGTCAAAAATTCATATAAATTTTGTATCTTTATCGGGTAGAAAGCAGCGCGACATAAAAACGATATAATCCCGGATAACGCTTTTTGTCTCGGATATCGTTTTTTGTCCCGCTAGGTTTCGCGCCTTGTGAAAACAAAAATGGCCGACTCGCACTGAACTATAAGTAAACTGGAAGGCTAACGTAGGGGGGGGGGGGATTGAAGTCGAGCTTTGTAGGTAGTACCGGACCTTTTTTGCAATTTTTTTTTTAGAAATATACACTTTCTATATCGACAAAATTTCACTCTCTTAACTTCCTTCCCCCCTTTTCTTTTTCGTTTTATAACATACTAAGACAATAAACGCTTACAAAAAATAAATATCGTTCAACTGCTAAAATATTAGAGACTGAATAAAATTTGTCAAAAACTGCGAGAAAATGTTTGGTTTTTCTCAGTTAATACAAATTATGTAGAAAAATATTAGACACATTTGCAAATTCATTTTCAAGTACCCAATATGACTTACTTTTGATAGTGCTACTGCAGCGAATTTTTTGACCTAGTTTTTTAGCTTAAATAAAAATTCAGTCTTTTAGAAGCATTTTGATATATATTTGACCATCATGCGATGCTTAGAAGTTGCCAAATTTAACGTCTGAAGTTGGTTATCGCGTGCGAACTTTTCCGTCGCCATATTGATGCCGTGTGACGTCATAAGATGAACGGAAACGAAGATATGAAGGTCGTATTTGTAGTAAATTATATGGCGCGTCAACATATTGCAGTGGAATTCTTGTCTATTTCACTTGTTTATGGCGCAGATAACTGATTTTTAAAAATCGAAGAACAAGTGCTATATCTTATTGTTTATTTGGTCGACGGCGGAATGATGGTTAGAGATTCAGATAATAGGGTCAGTACTGCATCTGGAAGTCGACGAGTATGGACTCGGCTAAGTGACTAAGTCGGCTTTGAAATACGATGATGAACCAGTTGCCTAAACAGCTTTTATACAGCTTCACTAGACGAAGTGATAGAGAAATTATATAACGCCGCTGCAGATAGACAACTACCATCTGTGACTGTGTTGGAGCAATCAAGCGATGGTACAATACCTGTAAAATTAGTGGTAAGTAGATCTTTTTTATTGCATGTATGTATATATAAATTGTATTGTGCTCGCCTCGGTATTGTGTCTGAACACATCTGGTGTGTGTAACTTAATATTTATTATGAACTGGATTGTGTGTGACAAAAAATATAAAAACGTTTATAAACACAAGCATATTCATAGCCTAATAATTCGCAATACTCAAAATGATTTTGATTTTGTTTTCAATAGATAGCGATATGTGTAATTGGCAATTACGGGCTGTGGTTCTATTGATGGCTATATTACTTGGATGGGAAACAGAAGAAAATAATTTCCAACAACAAAGACACAGCTGCCTTACGCTTAAACAGAAAAGCGGTCGACTTTAGTTGGATTAGGCAGATTGTGACTGAGTCAGTTAACCATTGAGTCAAAATTGTGCCACTGTGCAATATCACATTTACTGTAATATTTTGAAATATTATTAATCTTCAAAGTCACAAATATATTTCTCACAAAATAGCGTACCAGTACAATATTATGCTATTGTATTATTATATTTATTGTTGCTTTATACTATGCAATATGAATTATTGATATGACTGAATATAACTCCAATGTCATCGTTTCTCTCAAAATAACATCAGAAGTCTTGACGAAACTAGGTCAAGCACTCAAGCCGTCAAGGCATGCTGAATTGTTGTCTTTATTTCAATCTCAAGATGCTCTGGACAAGAAAGTAACTTAACAGGAGATAGCCTTTTTACAACCACAATTGCTCTAAAACATAAGAAATGTTAAACACTTTAGACTAACAATATAGCATCATTTGCGCAAAATATTCACCATGTGTCAGTGTGCGAACATATTAATTTGTACTTCACTATAATACCTGAATTATTTGCCTTGCGTCTGTTAGTTGTACTTTAGCCAGGGGAACCATTCTAGCCATGTAAATTGTATAAACAGTTTCTTCCTTCAGTATTCTTTCCATTTTACGAGGTTTTGTCGATGAAAATAAGATATAGCACGAATCTCCAAAACGGGGTCAATTAAAACACTACTAGGTTCGCAGATGCGGATAAAATTCACTGCCTTTCTTTCACTCTGTGGATCTGTTTCTTTGTTGGGAAATGGATGCATGGGTATTCCTTCAGGCTCAGAATTCGTGCAATAATCTAAGTTAGAACTGCCAGAAACACGGCCTTCGTCTCCGCGTTTGTTGGTTTTACTATAATTCTAATACGCCATGATAAAATCGTGTTCATCTTATGACGTCACATGGCATCAACATGGCCGATCAAAAGTTCGCACAGGAAGTGCAAAAATGGCCACTTTGGAAAGCTACAAAATCGGTTTTAATTAATTTTAATTTTTTAATTTTAATTTTTTTAATTTTTTAATTTTTTTAATTTTATAAACTTCGTCACAATATAAATTACATATCTAAATACTATAATGACTATAACACATTCCGAGCCATCCTTACATGTATCGTTTTCCAGGACAAACAACTGTTAAACCATATTAAAACAGACTAAAACAGACATGAAAACCGTAGATGCAATATAACTCGAAATGCACTATAGATCTAACAATACAACATTCAACAATTTACAACAATTGTGACAGGGTATTCACAACAGCTTTTGGCCAATTACTGTGATCCCATTAGACAACAAACAAATTATCTTAAACTATACAAAGCATTCACATTGTCTCTTAAAAAATTATCATTTAAAAACAGCATGCAAGAGGTTTAGTGAGATCATGAGTCTGATTACACTTTAAACAAATTGTTTTCCACGAACGAGGATCATCTATGTTATAATTAAGTTGTAAAGCAGAGAGGTAGTAGTCAAGTAAATATTTTTTAAAGGTATATAAAGAATTAGATTTATTAGTTATAAGTTTTGGTAAAGTATTCCAGATCCTTGTTGATCTGATTGTATATGACTGTTGGTATGTCGCTGTATAGCATTTCTTCGTGCGGAATTGGAGACAGTTTGGTTGAACAGATCGTGTTGTTCTAACGTTCAGATTTTGCGTAGGAAGGACTGATCTCGGAAGATTTATGGCACCACAACTTACTTTAAATAAAAACATCATGTCCAAGTACTCGTGCCAATAGCTGATGGGAAGAAGCTTCAATTTCTTCAGTCGTTGCTCGTAACTGGCTTCACAAAGAAAAGGCAAGCCAAGGATGTATTTTGAAGCACGCCTTTGTACTCGTTCTAATCGGGAGATGAGCTCAACGGACTGTGGTGACCAAACTTGCGTTGCATAACCGACTTGAGATCTTACAAGAGTTAGGTAGAGGGTACGACGCGCTGGTTGACTGGTGATGTTTCTTGTGGATCGTTTTACAAATCCCAGCAATTT